GGTCCAGCAACAAGCAGAACAACCCCATACAATCCACGGAAGAACGGATAAGTGAGATGCTTGAACAACATCATTTGGAAGAGAATTGTTGCATCAAACTTTACAGGTTTCAGTAAATCCCAGCAGAAACGAACACACCCGGATACCTCTCATTCGCTGCGATCCTCATTGAGCATATCCAAGAACGTCTTTTCAAATATAGTTGTACGTCGACTTCAGGAACTACATTTCGCAACTGGCTGACCCTATCAGGTTCGGCACATCTGTACTGAAATATTCGATCACCAATGCATGACCCCTTGATCGACAAAGTAGCTCACTAACTGTAATCCGCAATGCAAATCACTTTGAAAACAGAACGGTGGATACTCTCTCTTTCCGCGATTGACAATCATTCAGCTCAAGGCTGCTTACATTACAAACAAGTGCATGTGTGCTCAAGGCCGGTTGGATAAAGCAAACGCAAGATATCCTGGAACAAAGAAATATACAGTAGTTGTTCTGATATTGTGCCGTAAAAAGAACAAAATGCGAAAGACCAGTACGCTATTGTGTATCTGCAGGCCTGAGGAACTGAAGTTTTCCATCGATCACAGAAACAACAAAGTCAAGACGTGTACGCTGTGTACGGTCACATCGGAATTAACAAACACACACGCAACCATACACACTCAACGAACTTGTCCAGATTAAACCCTTCGAAAATTTAGCTCAACGTGTCGCACACCAAAGCAAACTCGAGCGTGAGCATATTTTGGTTGAAAGAGATGATTCTGTGTTGCGTCGTCCAGCGTAACCATGGCAGCCTATCTCATGCAACGTAGGGCCGTGCAACTAAGGCTGGATGACCGGGATTATGAGGTTGACCGAGTGAAGCAGTAACTATGCCAATGGTCGTCCTGACATGCAATGCGCGATATCTAATTAAAAGACATCGATGCTAACGCATTAGCGCGAGACCCTAATAATAAAAAAGACATCAAGAACCGAATATAAAGGAAAGAGAAAATGGAAAATGTGCAATTGATACTAGAGTACACAAAATGCTGTTAACCCCACTCCATGTTCCCACAATATTTCGCAAACCGAAACATAAGCAGTGTACGAATCTGGCAGAATGATTATAAAGTTCATCAATGTATAGGGAAAACCAGCAGATTTTTATCACGATTTTGTTACTGAATGAAGGGATGCGCGATGCTATTAGCTCCACTCTGAAAGCTATCATCGAAATACACACCGTAGCTCTCCACTTAAGTCATACGAGCCTGTTACGACTTACAGAATACTCCCCGGTGTTAGATCTGTCCTGTCGCCGAGTAGCTCGCTTATCTTGGCAACATAGTCTGTTCGGTTTAGTATACAGATTACATCTTTATCCGGTCTTGTGATCATACTGTTCCCATTGTTTTTCAGTTGTTTAAGCTTTTCGAAAGGGTCCGATTTTAGAAATCAAGTCGTTTCTTTAGATGTTAAATATTGAAAGCACGTCTGAACCGAGTAGGATTTAAGCTTCTGAGTCTCGAGGTGAGACGACGGTGTTAAATCTGCTAGTTGTTCGTATAGGTTTTAAAACTGAGTTTCCAGCTCTAGTTGACGAGTAATGCGAGTTGGAGAGCGAAATCTGTCCTAACGACACTAACTCTAGTGTTGACTTATCCAAACTCATAGACGAGAAATTATGAACATACCGTTCCGGATTCCTTGGAAATTCCTTGCAAACTTCTGCGACCGTTACCTGTCTGATAACTTGGTCTCTTTCTTAGCCGATTGTTGAGATTAGATGATTATAACGTACGCCAAAACTTGCTCCGCCCCTTCGTCTATCAGATGATGTATTACTTCCGACACGACAAACAACTGCAAAGATCAATCCGAGAGTCGCGTTCGTTAAGCTTTTGTCGCTTTATTAGGCATCGGGGTATTTTAATAGGATTCCGACGAAGGATAATCCAATAGCGTTTCGGAAATACACGGCGGTTAACACAGTCATTCAGAAATTGCACAGTGGTGTTTGCCACGACCAACGGTATACGGAACTTCAGGTAGTTATTCAGTTCTTCGACACACAGGACCTTGACCCGTTTTAGATGTGAAATTATTCTCGACTGAGTAATCATGAGATAGGAAACAAGCTAGTTTTCGGTGCCACATTAGGCGGCTAAGTACAGCACAATTTATAATAATAAGTTCAGAATTTTGTCAACAGCCGAGGCGATTACTATCCGCTTCCACAACCATCCCTTGTAAAAACATCGGTCTTACCATGGCCGTCCAAAACCTAGTCTGAAATGACTCGGTCGGGTTGTGGATTAAATAGTGTCACACCAAACATGTTCTCGACTCACTCAGGGAATCGAGGCACCCTGTTAACACACATAGCGGAGTAATTAACATAAATTACGGGTAACAGTTTGGTATACGACAAGAATGCCTAATACAGTCCAGTTTACGGCGTTGAGTGAGGGAAAGTTGTTCGGTACGAGATTCAAAACTCTGCCGAGAAAAAATACTCATCTAATAAGATGAACCACTGAAAAGGAGTGAGCTATGAGAACAAGGATAGCTAAATTCGAAAGAAAAAATGATCGTCTGTGTCGGGTAATACTAAAACGGTCAAACAAAGTAAACCATCAGAATCAATCACGTTTTACGATCGATAAGATCGAACTTCTTGATTTGAAGTCAAACCCTATCCGAAAACTGACATCAACCGTGAAATATGGTCAGTAAGGACTAGACCAGTTCATTCAAAGCACGATAATAAGACTAGCGAAAGTTAAAAATGAGAAGTTTCCGCATCAGATCAGTATTTCGGGGGCGAGGTTGTCCGCCTAACTCACCTCACACCTACTAACCGATGGTAGGGATTAACGAATCAGTTCGATCTTTCAGTTTTTAAGACCATTAACCATGCCCTTCCGTGCGCTGCTTTTGGATGCTGTGATAATAAATGTATCGTGCACATCCGTCAAACAGACGCTGTGCCAGAGTGCAGAGCGGTCGCCTGAGTCGAAATCTGCTTTCATATCGAGGAAGACACAAATGGCAAGTGTGCGAAGGGAGTATCTCTGTTCTGGAATTTGGTGAAAGGGGAAAATGTGGTCTATAAAACCTCTATAAAACCTAAAAACCGGGTCTAAAACCAGCCTGATTCTCACGCGTGCACTGTTCACGTGTGACAGACAATCGACGGCGTATAATGCCAGCGAGAAGTTTCAAGATAATGTTGATTCTAATTCCTCTGTGATTTTCACAAGAGGATCTGTCACCTTTCTTGTAAATAGGTAGGACGACAGACGCACATCATTCAATTAGAACTCGCTCCCTCTCCCATACTGAGCCCAGGAGTTTCGTGAAAATCAGGTCTAAAAGTTAGTCCTTAAAATCCGGCTAGGACAGCCCATCAGGGCCAGAAGCTTTATACCTTTTGAGATGGCAGATTTTTCGGGTAACCGCGATTCCAAACGGAGGACTTATNTCAACTGGCAGTATTTGCCTGATGGTGTAGGAGTTGACAAGCTTTATGCCGATGGGGGCCAACTGAAGTAAGCCGGCGGTTCCAGAAGACGTTGCTGACTGTGAATCACTTTGCTGTCAAACTCCTTAATCACCTCAGACCTACATTCCTTATACCCGTATTCCAGATTAGAAGAATGCGACTCAAACGGTTGCCAAAGTGACTTCTGCAGGACAAGAACGAATAGCCAGAGGAAACCAGGAGATGCCCAATCAGCTGAACTTTTGAGACTAGGCTCTGTTTAGCCTCTATTTGTTGACATTTCAGGCATGATTGAATCCACGGCTGTGAAAAGTTATGTTGTGTAGCTCCTAGGATCACAGAAGCCCGTAGGCCACTACACCACGTCAAGGTGCAGCCGCGTCGTGAAAATCAGTTAGATGTAATTACGAGCATAAGCGGTTACGTATCGATGTGATCTTGAAATCTGGTTAAGTGGTTGAACTAAATTGGCTCTGAAAAGCTTGAGATGTGGTGTTAAGTTTGTCTCGATGGTCCTTAAATAAAAAACTCGGATTCGTAACTCAATCTGCCGTGCTGCTTGAAGGACCAATGTTTGATGAAATGAGACGAACATAGTTCATGAAGGCATTGAGCATATGCCTCGGGCTGATCACATTCCGGAAACTTTCTACACTTTTACAGGGTGGAGTAGAACAGAAAAGAACAGATCCAGAGGTACACGAAAACATGCAATAATACATGGACGGAGGCGATAGTGGGCGACTTTTGCGCTTACAATAAAATAGGACAAGCAGATTCATGCAGGGTTATAGAACGCTAGTACATCAATAAAGGAATATCGAAAACAGCTAGGTTAGTGGCACCGAAGGCCAATAGCGAAGATCCCGAAAGTGATTTTGCGGTTGTCTCTAAACCGCGCGCCACCGGGAGAATGACCTGAGCGGATCGGGGCTTGAACATACAGTAGTAATTAGTCATTCCGAGATCAGAATGTTCGGTGGCGGTCTTTGGAGGTGAGAACTTAAAAGCTATGATTCGGTCTCTAGACGAACGGACCCCCTCCGGATCAATGTGGTTACCAAGAAAGACTAATGTATCACGACTATGAGGAGGGGGGGCAGTTCCAGCACACTGAAAAATACACACCTCTCTCTTTATACGTTCTGCATTCTCCGCTTGAGCAACAGCCTCCATCTGAGCGCGTTCCCGAGCTAATCGTTCCTCTTCCAACTTTTCTTCTATCAAAATTTTTGCCTTTTCTGCTTCTTTACGACGTTGTTTCTCTTCGATTTGTCGAAGATTTTCCATCTGAAATCGCAAAGCGGAGAAAAATCAAAATAAACAGGAACCTCCAGGACAATAATTTTGGGGGTGAGCCATTACGCGAAAACCTTAAGTGAAAACTAGTATTTGATTATTGATGAGCGATAACTATACGGAATAGCGTTAGACTCGAGAATCGGGGATACAATATTGGTAGCGATGGGTTTGAATCAGCCACAAATGAGATGGGCAACCGATGATCTCGAGACGACGTGTCAAGCATCCCGGGAGCTATGTTAATTCAGTACGCAGAATTTGAGTGCACATGAATCGTCAAGTATAATCGAAGTGGATAAGCTGTTTTTAAACCTGGAACGAAATGAGAATATGTGCAACTTGTTTTATATCACACCCGAACAAAATGGTTGGCTAACGGACTGGAACCCGATCGAATAGCCAAGCACAAAGATAAAACTTACGACACAAAACTGACCGATCCAGTAATAATGCTCTGATCGGACGTTAGTTTGCCTTTCACCACTGTTGATGATCATATCAACTCTTATGTTAAATTTGCCCATGAGATTCTAGATGACCCTATTTATCCACTGTAACCTGATCTATCATCATGTCGCTCTCAACCGTCCACAGGCTTCCCGTTTCGGCATCTACCCTTTCGCATTAACAGATAAAAAGTTCTCTTGTACCCCACCTGGACCGAATCCTAACCAAAAAGTGAACTAAGTCGAAAGTTTTGTACACTAAACAAATATAAGCTACATTTTTCACCTTTCGTGTAATGTTTTATGATTATGATTATTATGATTATTATTTCATTCCGTGTGACAAACAGTGCACATTTTAAATGAAATGAAAGCACATATACTTAAAAAAGCTACACAAATACAAGTAAAAATGTCACCACTAGTGAAACAATTGAACAACTTCGCATTTGTTTACAAGGTAACAGCGCAAAGACTGGTCGTTGTTTGAATGACTTGAAACGACTACTTTATTTCTACAAACAAAAAATTCGGACGAAGTTCATTTTTTAACGCACATAACGTGATTCATAACGGAAGAAA